CTCCCAGAACCCAAGCGATAGGAAGAAGGCAGAAGAAAGGCCCAAGGCCTCTGAAAATCAGCTGGCGCCTAGCACTTGGAGGGCCATGATGTCGTTCCATTGTACACCCCACAAAGAATCAAGCTGGGAAGTGAGCCTGCAATTCTGAACGAACAAGATCCATGGACAGGCAAAGCGGTGTCTATGGCTTTGTCTGGAGACTCATACACCTACAGCACAGATCAAGCTGGGGCTTAAACTTGAGCCTTGCTTCAATGGTCTCCTGGGCCCACGGACAGAGATGCGGGACGAGGCCCCAAGTGATGCTGCTCAGGGACACGAAGGCCTATGGATGTTCTCAGGGCCCTGACACTGCCCCCATGGGTTCCCACTGCCAGTGCCCTCAATAGGTCAAGTTCTCATTCCCTGATGTCTGGGGATCTGCGCTCTGCTACTCTCCTTCCCCATATCCCCGGGGATCTGCAAGACCACAACTGCATGGTCACTAAACTCAAGGCTGACACTGCCTTTCACATCCGTCACTAGCAATTCCTCTTTTGGGAGTACCAGGTCCAGAAGAGCATCGGACTGGGTGGCCCATTTTGGAATTGTGTAAGAATGTTTCCTGGTGCACCACAAGGAACCTCTGGGACTGCTTGCATCCCGCTGTCTTACTTGAGTGGTGAATAGCAGGGAGACTGAGTCCCCCATGAAAGCCAGGTTCTGTAATCCACAGGTGTCCTTGGGTTATTTAAAATAGACATGGCTCATTGCTCACCCGGACTATGTGACCTGTAACTCTGTCCTGGGTCTGGCTGGCATGGAGTTAATTCCCTCCATAGCAGACCATATGGTGCTCTGCTGTGGATTTGTTACTAAACCAGCATTAATAACACACCAGTGTTTTGGCTACTGCTGAGCATGGAGGCTTTCTCTTTCTCACCCTCGGGCTCCATTTCAAATGGGCTGAGGGTATGCCAGATGTTGGCAGGGACAGAGCTGGGAGATCCTCAGGGAAAGATGGAGGAAGGGGGGACATTTGCGGTCTGGGCTCCTGCAGTCTGTGCCCCAGGCTGTGGGCTTTGATGAACATTTTGGGTGAAGCACCTCAGATGTGGCACCAGGGCCAAGGGCAGATTTGTCACATGGAAGACTGGTACCGAGTGATTGGACCCCTTGTGTGGAAAGGCTTTGCTTGCCAGCAGAGGCATGCTGGAGTTGATGGCTGGTGGCAACATCATGATGGATGAGGCTCCCACAACAAGAGCAAAATCTGCAGTCCGCAAGGCCAGGGAAAAACAGGCCTGGGCTGTTTAGCCCTGGCAGGAGAGGGCTTTGCTGTCCCAGGGGACTCTGTAGCACCGTGGGGTCTGTGCTAGAGGTGGAGCTGATCTCCAAGACAAGGTGCTGCTGAGAATGTCTCTGGAGGAGGACAGCCTGTGATCCAGCCACACTGTGGACATCTTGATAGCAGTTGTGCAGAGAAGGACCTTGGGGTCACAGAGGACAAGAAGCTGAGCAGGATCCAGAATTGCACCCTCGTGGCGAAGGCCAACAGCATCCTTGGCTGCATGAGGAAAAGCATTGCTGGAAGATGGAGGGAGGTGACCACCCTGCTGAGGCCATACCTGGAGTGCTGTGTCCAGTGCTGGGCTGCCCAGTTTTCTTGGTTTTGGCTGGGATAGAGTTAATTTTATTCATAATAGCTAGCACAGTGCTGTGTCTTGTATTTAGTGCTAGAATAATGTTGATAACCTACTGATTTTTTTAGTTGTTGCTAAGTAATGCTTAGACTAATCAACGACTTTTTCAGCTTCTCCTGCTTGGCCAGGTGCATAACAAGTGATCGCTGCTCAGGACCAGCTGGGCATGGGTCAGCGGGTGGTGAGCAATTGCATTGTGCATGATTTGTTTTGTATATTCTGTATATTCCCTTACCATTATTATTATTATTATTGCTATTATTTTCTCTTATTAAACTGTCTCTATCTCAACCCATGGGTATTACTTTTTTTTCTTTTTCTATTCTCTCCCCCATCCCACTGAGGGCGGAGAGTGGGAGAGTGAGCAAGCAGCTGCATGGTGCTTAGTTGCCAGCCGGGTTAAACCACGACACCAGTGCAAACAAGTTTTTGACCTACTAAAGTAAGTCCAGCAAAGGGCCATAAAGCTGGTTGAAAGGACTGAAGCATCTTTCATAGGAGGAAATTTTGAGAGATCTGGGGCTGTTCCATCTGGAGAAGAAAAGGCTTGGAGGGCTTTTCTTAATGTGTCTAAATAGCTGATGGGAGAGCATGAGGACCAGGGAGCCAAACTCTTCTCAGTAGTTCCCAGTGACAAGACAAGGGGTGATGGACACAGCTAAAAACAATGGTCAAACAATGGAACAGGTTGCCCAGAGAGGTTGTGGAGTCTCCATCCATGGAGATATTCCAAAGCCAGCTAGAAAAGATGCTGAGCAACCTGCTGTAGCTGACCCTGCCTTCGCTGGGTGATTGGACTAGTTGATCTCCAGATCATCTCCCTTCCTATCACAATATTTCCATTTTTGTTTGAGTCTAAAGAAGTAAGAGAGAAATCAGTGAAGACTTGATAGCATTGAGCACAAATATGGTGGGATCCGATGGAGAGGACACAAGCTGGAGTAGGGGAGAAGCGTGAGGTGGAAGGAGCAGCAGACATGGTTCTTTACTAATTGTTAAGCCCCTCTTCACCAATGCCTCTGCTTCTTTTGGGGTTGGGGTAGGTAGGTGAATTGGGAGCAATGGAGTAATTTCAGCATGGAAGAAAGTGTGAGGAGAATGGTCTTTAATATTTTTGTCATTATTTCTCACAATTAAAGTATTTTTTAATTAGCAATAAATTAAATTGACATGCCAACATGTCTTTGCCCATGACACTAACTGGTACCTGATCTCCTTTACTTTTTCTTGACCCACGAGTTTTCTGATTTATATTCTCCCTTTGTCCTGTTGAGGCAGGGGAGTGAGTGAGCAGCTCGGGGGTGTCTGGTGGCTGGCCAAGGCTAACTCACTACAGAACCACCACATCAGGCCTTTTGCATCCAGTATGGGGCTTCCCAGCACAAGAAAGAGCCTGGAGTGTGTCCTGCAGAGGCCAGAAGGATGGTTGGGTCCTGGAGCACGTTGTGGACAAGGAGAGGCTTAGAGAGCTGGGTTCTTGAGAAATCCCTCAGAGTCAAACAGTGGGGCAAAGGCCCAGGCCAGTTGATGGGATCTCAGTCAATGCAGATTTTCAATACTTGTTGAGCCATGAGCACCTGATCTATTTGGAGCTGTGTGAGAGCAGGCTTGGCTGAGAGACCAGCTGTAATAAGAGTTGGGGGACTTGTGTGTAATAAATGTCAGTAGGAAACTGTTTCCCTTTCCGTTAATGATGGCAGTGGAGTTGGGTATCACTGAGCCTCAGAGGAGGACAGAGATGACCATGCAGCAAAGGTCCCTCCTCAGGGTAGGGTTGTACAGCCAGATATGGAAATGGTCAGTGTGTAGGAGTGACCTGGGACAGTTTTCCCAGGGCTGCTTCCCCAGGGAGTCCAGGGAACATGGCACAGACCAGGCCCCTCTCTTTTGCACTTTTGGTGACTGTCACCTGGCTCTGCACTGTGAGCACCCTGTTGGGTGTCTTCAGCCTGCATGCTCTCACAGCTTAGCTCTGCATTGGTGTTTTCCTCTCCTGGGCTCTTTCCAACCCAGCCTGTCCTCTCCCCAGTGTGCTGCAGAGCTCTGGCCATTCAACCAGAGACCCAGGCCCTCTGAAGGGCACAGCACGTCCTGGGGGGAAAAGAGGGGTCTCAGCCTGCCCATCAGCCCTAGGGCTGCTGCTTGCAATGATGATCCAAGGAAACAGAGACCACTCTCCCAGGCTATCCTGAAGTCATGTTTTAGGTGAACCTTAACCCTGGCAGAATTTGACCTCTTCTCCTGCCCCCACCAGCCCCACAACCAAGGACAGAACAAGAGCCCTGGGCACTCTCAAGCACCTCCCACATCTCTCCAGTGTCCCTTCCCCCTGTCTGCTGGGTCCGCATTCCCATGGCACTTCAGAGTCCTGGTGTGTGGATACCTGAATTCTGGTTTACTTTTGGGTGACATCGCCATTGAGGGTGCTTCACCCTATCAGTCTTCATTCACTTCCAGCCCAGGGCAAATGGCGAGTCCCCATCCCATTCTGACCCCTCCAAATTCCTTTTCTCAGACATATCCATATGCCATCAGTCCTCTCATATATGAAGCAGCCTGCAGAGGAAATTGGGAGCACCATTTCCACTGCCCCTGGACACAACAAAGAGAGACTTTAGAACCGGAATATTAGGTCCAATGGAACCCAAAGGTATAATGAACTTAACCCCAATAACAGGGAGAACACAAGGATAAAAGACTCTTAAAAAGACCAGGTTGTTTGAGATTTTATTGGCAGCATTTCTGGAGGAAAAGCTCAGCCTGCAAGCACTGCACTGCAAGATGCCCTTTTATTGAAGAGCTGCATTTGGATAGGCCACATCTGACAGAGTGTTCTGCCAGGGTCAGACACAACTGGATAGAAGCTCAGCACAAGAAGCATTAGAACAGAAGATTATTTGTAAGTGTGATTATCACAAGAGAAAACTTCAGACTTGTGGCATAAGATAAACTCTGGGAAAAGATCACAGAAGGGAATAAAGTTATTGTTGATGAAACCATATTCAATGAAAGAGTTTCCATAGGGCATCCTTGAGTTCCTGGTTCCTCATGCTGTAGATGAGGGGGTTCATTGCTGGAGGCACCACTGAGTACAGCACTGCCATCACCAGATCCAGAGATGGGGAGGAGATGGAGGGGGGCTTCAGGTAGGCAAACGTGCCGGTGCTGATAAAGAGGGAGACCACACAGAGGTGAGGGAGGCACGTGGAAAAGGCTTTGTGCCGTCCCTGCTGAGAGGGGATCCTCAGCACGGCCCTGAAGATCTGCACATAGGACACCACAATGAAACCAAAACAGCCAAAGCCTAATAAGGCACTGACCACAAGAAGCCCAACTTCCCTGAGGTAGGAGTCTGAGCAGGAGAGCTTGATGATCTGAGGGATTTCACAGAAGAACAGGTCCACAGCATTGCCTTGGCAGAGGGGGAGTGAAAATGTATTGGCCGTGTGCAGGAGAGAGTTGAGAAAGCCACCGCTCCAGGCAGCTGCTGCCATGTGGACACAAGCTCTGCTGCTCAGAAGGGTCCCATGGTGAAGGGGTTTGCAGATGGCAATGTAGCGGTCATAGGACATGACAGTTAAGAAAGAAAACTCTGCTGATGTAAAAAAGAAAAAGTAAAAGAGTTGGACCGCACACCCTTGATAGGAAATGGCTCTGTTGTCCCCAAGTGAATTGGCCATTGATTTGGGGACAATGGTGGAGATGGAAGCCAGGTCGAGGAGGGAGAGGTTGAGGAGGAAGAAGTACATGGGGGTGTGGAGGCGGGGGGCGGAGACTATGGCAGTAATGATGAGGCCACTGCCCAGGAAGGCAGCCAGGTAGATGCCCAGGAAGAGCCAGAAGTGCAAGAGCTGCAGCTCCCACGTGTCTGCAAATGCCAGGAGGAGAAATTGGGTGATGGAGCTGCTGTTGGACATCTGTTGCCTTTGTTCATGAGATCCTCTCAAAAGATGAAAATGCACTCACAGGTTAGCACTGCTGTGAGAAAATCTCTTTCCATTCCTTGACCCCCAAACACCCCCTCAAAACACATTTTGTCTCTCCCCTTTCAGGACCTTTATATATCTCCCCAGCTGGTGCTCTGGTGCGCGCTGGCCACATGTGCCATTATGAGAAGGGCTCTGCACATGAGCTCCGAAGGAGTCATCCCTGCTCTACAGCAGTGGGAACCTGGGAAAGAGAGTAACAGCTTCTGAAATTCACTCTTTACCTCCTGTCTTGTCCCCTTGTGAGGAAGAGGAGCTGGTCAGCATCTTCCAGTAGGAGAAGCCCAGGGAAACTCCTAGACTGGCTAAGACTGTGGTGACCTGAGCTGAGAGAGCTCACTCCTCAGCCCCACACACTGCACTGTCCGGAGACCCACAGGTTCAGACAGGCTGATGGAATTTGCTCCCCTCAACACAACCATGTGGCAAGTCCTGCAGTGCTGGTGTGTGAGCTGCACCTGAACCCTCATTGCTTGCAGAGAGTGTGAGGGTCAAAACAAAGGCAGCATAGAGAGGAGGGAAAGATGGAGAAATGGCCCAATGCATCTGCTGAGGGAAGGAAGGGACAGAAAAATGGCACTTGGGCATTTCTCCTTCTTAGGACTGAGCTCCTAAGTAGGTGGCTCAACCAAAGCCTTGTGGGCAGAAGCTCTAGTGGGAGGAAGAGGAGACCAGGGGCTGCTCTGGGAAAGGCATCTGCCCTGCAAGGGATGGCAGGGAGGTGCCCGAATTCCCCTCTCATGGCTTTTCTGGTAGCAGTTCTACCTTAGCCCCTGCCCATATCTCTTTCCCTGTCCCCACACCTCCTCCCTGCCAGTGCTCACAGACCCCATCCCACCCACTGTGTGCTCGGGTCTGCCCTGCAGACACCTCCTAGCAGCAGGACACTGCCCAGGGGCATCTCTGTGTGCACAGGCTGTGATGGGATCACCACCTCAGCTCTGATGAGGCTGTAAAGCTGATGCTGGGGCTGCCTGCAAGCCGTGGGGTCCTCATTTCTGATACACCAAATATATTCATTAGGGCCATAAAATGATGCAGAGGGCTGGAGCCCCTCTCCTACAGGAACAGGCTGAGAGAGTTGGGGTTGTTCAGCCTGGAGAACAGAAGGCTGCAGGGAGACCTGATTGCGGCCTTTCAGTACTTAAATGGAGCCTATAGGAAAGATTGGGACATTTTTTTACCAAGGCCTGCTGTCACAGGACAAGTGGTAATGAATTTAAATTATAGGAGGGTAGATTTAGAATGGATATAAGGAAAAATTTTTTTACAATGAGGGTGGTAAAACACTGGAATGGGTTGCCCAGAGAGGTGGTGGAGCCCCCATTGGAAAACAATCAAGGTGAGGTTGGACAGGGCTCTGAGCAACCTGATCTGGTTAAAGGTGTCCTTGCTCACTGCAGGGGGGTTGGACTGGGTGACCCCTAAAGGTCCCTTACAACCCAAAACATTCTATGATCTCTATGATTCTATTCACTTCTGAGTGGAAAAATATTTGGAGTTCATCTCCTCCAGAATCAAGAGGTGAATATTAATCTCTAATTCCCCACCCAGACAAACAAATGCAGCAGCATGAAAGCACAAGCTCCTTCCCTTTCAGGTAGCCCCTGCCTTGATGTGCTTCTATAAAAGCTGCCTCTGCCAATGTCCTGTGGAGATCATGAGCTGTGAGCATCCCTGACCCATGTAGCATCTTTCAACAGTAGAAGGACCCTGCCCTGCCAAGGGTTGCTTCTTGCACCTACAGCTTCTCCCTGCAGTGCCATGGGAAGCTCCCTGGGCAGGCTGAGTGCTGACCCTGGCAGGCAGCAGAGTACCTGCCCCAGCACACAGCCCCCTGGGGTGCAGAGGCCCTGCTTGGAAGGACCAGCCTGGACCTCTCGGTGCACACTCAGATTCACAACCCTGGAGCCATCCCCAAGAGAAGGCAGCCCTCATGCCCTGTCCCTCTGACGGTGCAGCAGGGAAACCCTGCTCTGCAGCACCTCCTTCCCCTCTACGCTAGAGGAACTGTGAGAGTCCTCCTGAAAGATCTCATCGTTTGTGGATGTGCCAGCTTTAGATCTTTCCAGGAGCTGCAGCTGCATTGCCCTGCACCCAGACACTTACCACATAAAGGGCTGTGAAGATCTCTACCCCAGTGAGTTCTTAGCATCCTCCCACCACACACAGCATGTAACCTCTCTCTGCCTCACTCCTCTCCCCTCGGTGCCTGCAGGCTGTGCCCCCGGCCCTGCTGCGCTTTGCAGAGGAGCTGCTCCTGGGCAGAGCTGTCTCTCGGCAGCACTGCCCACTTGCCATGAGCTCCCTCCATCCCAGGAGCCCAGCCCAGCTCAGCAGCAGAGGACCAGCCCAAGGCAGCACTTGCTCTGCCCCCTCGGGGCTCCCTCCAGGTGTCCCTTGGTCTCCAGGGGAAGCTGCTGTGAAACAGGCTGAAGTCATCCCTGATGCTCCCTCACACAGCTGGGGAGAGACACTTCTTTCCTGCAGGGTCATTTCTCCTGTCCAAGACAGAATTGGGCATAAGAATCGCCTTTCCTTATCCCATCATTACCTTGTTTTGTAGTCCTGGGGCTGGAATGGGACTCAGTTCCCATGCACACACCAACCCCTCAGAAGCTGGGATTCCTCTTGCCTCTGTTCAGGTGTTCATTAAACAGGCACCTGCATGTGAGCAACTTGTCTCAGCTCCCTTAGTAATTAATGGTGATGGAAGCCAGGAGTGAGGTGCTCAGATGCAAATGTCTGGTGACATTTGAGGTGCCAGGGGTGGTCAAAAATACGTGCAGGTGATAGAGACAGATTGAAGATATGTGCAGGCTGATATAGAGACAGGACAACACACCTAGGGGCATCTTCTTGGAGGCTTGGGGAATTTTCTTTGGCCAACTCAAATGGCAGCTGATGCACAAATTGAAGAGAACTGCCTCTGTCCCTGCTCATTATGTTCAGGGTGTCCTATAGAGGTATCCATCCAACAGAATAGAGTTGTATGCCATAGGGAGAGCTCAATCTCCCTCTTCCTTTTCTCCATCTGTTGGATTTACTAGATCTTTACTGACTACATTGGCAGTTGCCTCATGTTCATCTCCACACTGTGTTACAGAATTCAGTCCTTCAGGGCAGTCCTACTCAAGCAATGGTCCAATCTGGCCCATATTGCTACACGAGATCGCAGGGCTGGCAGGAAGATCACAGGGCCCACAACAAAAGCAATTCCCATTCCAGGTGGGTGCATTACAGACCCCCCCAAACAGCATCGCAGGGAGTCTGATTGGCTGCCTGCGTGCCACGGCCTGTTGCCATCAGTCAGAGGCATCAGGCATCAGGTGCCATCAGAGGGGCTAATTCAACATTGACTTGGGAACAGTGGTGGAGATGGATCCCAGATCAAGGAGGGAGAGGTTGAAGAGGAAGAAGTACATGGGGGTGTGGAGGCGGTGGTCGAAGGCTATGGTGGCGATGATGAGGCTGTTGCCCAGGAGGGCAGCCAGGTAGATTCCCAGGAAGAGCCAGAAGTGCAAGAGCTGCAGCTCCCGTCTATCTCCAAATGCCAGGAGGAAGAATATCGTGGTGGAGCTGCTGTTGGACATTTGCTTCCTCTGGGCATGGGGATCTTTTCAAGGAGGTAATGGAAGTGATAAGTTAGGGCAGACTTTGAGAATAATCTATTCAATTTCTTATATAACCTCCCCAAAACTCCTTTCCCTTTTCAAGAAGATCTTCGGTGAGCTCTGGTTTGTTCTGGCTGAGGGTGCCCCAGGGAGCTGAAGGCTCTGGTCTGGGCTCTGCAGGAGTCTTTCCTGCCCTACAGCAATAGGTAAAAAACAACACAGACTGATCTCAGATCTTCCTGCCCATGGCTCTGCTGCCTGGAGCTCTTCTTGGCCAGGACCTGTTTCTCTGTCCCCACGTCTCCTCCCTCTGCATGCTTGCAGTCCCCATCCCTCCTGCTGTGTGCTCAGCTCTGCCCTGCAGACACCTCCTGGCAGGTCCCCTGCCCAGGGACATCTCTGTGTGTGCAGGGGGTAAAGAGCAGCTCAGACAAGTGCTAACAAGAACTGGAGTCTCATTGCCTACCCCAAGGCTGAGACATAAATTCCCATCTCCCACTGCCCACCCATCCAACCAAGAGGAGAAAACTCAAAGCACAGATTTCTACTCTTTCTACCTTCACATCCATCTTTAAAATGACCAATCTGCAAATGTCCTCTGGGTGACGTAGAAGTCTGAGCAGCCCTGAACCACGCAGCACCCTCTGGACAGACAAATGACCCTACCTATGCAGGGGCTAATGCTTCCACCCAGAGCTTCTCCCCACAGCATGTGTGATGCTCCCTGGGCAGGCTGAGTGCTAACCCGACCTGGTGCACCAGGACCCTGCTGGTAAGGAGAGCACGGGGCACCCCTGCCTGAACAGCAACCTTCACACCCTGCACCCATCCCTGGCAGAAGGCAGCTGTCATGCCCTTTCCCTCTGACAGTGCAGCAGGGAAGCCCTGCTCTGCAGCACATCCTCCTCCTCTACAGTAGGAAAACTGAGAGACTCATCCTGAACAATCAAATCTGCTGTGGGACGTACGAGCTTTTGGATATCCTTCAGGAACACCAGCCAGACTGTCCTTCACCCAGAGACTTACCATGTAGAGGACTGTGAAGATCTCTGTTGCAGTAAGTGCTCAGCATCCTCCAACTCCAGGCTGCTTTTAGCTTCTATCTGCCTTACTCCTGTCTCCTCAGTGTCTGCAGGCAGTGCCCTCAGCCCTGCTGCACTTTGCAGAGGAGCTGCTCCTGGGCAGAGCTGTCTCTCGGCAGCACTGCCCACTTGCCATGAGCTCCCTCCATCCCAGGAGCCCAGCCCAGCTCAGCAGCAGAGGACCAGCCCAAGGCAGCGCTTGCTCTGCTCCCTCTGGGCTCCCTCCAGGTGTCCCTGG